TCGTCATCAAAAATCTGATTCATCGCTATTTCTCTGCGAAAGAAAAACCACAAATCGACGAGCCTGAAGAAGAATCTCCTCCTCCAGAAGAGATACAGCACAAACTAATGGAGGTCACAAAAACATTACAGAGCCTGCAAAATGTGGTCAAGCGGTTTCGTCATCAGACCCCAACGGTAAGCTATGTGACGCCATGACGTGTTAAGCACTAGAGATGATAGGCAATGTGGCGGAGTACACAGGGCTGGGCGTTTGGTGCAAACTACCCTGCACATGTTCTACTATTGCCATTCACAGAGAGCTAACAGTCATAGGGTGCTTAGCCTCTCCTCATCAAATAACGCGCGTTAATATTGCAGCTGTTATTGAAGCCCTCTTGAGCAGGTTGAGCAGGTTTTTGCCTCGACTTGTGATTGGTTATTTGCACCATTTTCAGACGTACGTAGGGACTGACTGTTTGTTTGCCTTTGTTAACGAGTCGGAAAACCCGTTTGAAGATGACTAGGAGATTTCATTTTGAGGTCAAAATTAAGGCATTTCATCAAATATCACAAGGAGTGTAGTTAATAATGATAGTCACACACTTTGCAGTAGATTTATGCCGAGTGGCAACCATGACATCAAAACATAACGAACGATGTAAGAGGTATGATATAGAGCTCGCACGCCTTTGTCAGCTCAAGCAAAAATAATTTACAGGTACGTGATCATGCTAAAAAAGATAAAACTAAGACCTCTGAGTCCTCGATATGGAGCGTTCCCTTTCTCCATTCCGGTCCTGTATGACAGAGCTAGGTCTGTCCGGCAAATATTGGGCTAACAGATACCTGCATCGACCACTGCCGACACAATTCTTTTTTGATATTCCCGGTAATTCGTAACGACAAAGAAGTATCATGACTAAAACGAACGAAATGATACCGGGCATTAAACTTTTTGAACTAAATAGGAAGAGCATCCAATCTCGATTGTTAATACTGAACTCACTCTTTCAAGGAATTCATGCAGACTTTAAGTTTACCATAGCTAGTTTTCGCGTTTTTATTTTCTTTTAGGAAAAGAGAGACAACCAAGAAACAGAAGCTAAGTAAAGGATGAGGCAGTGCTTTCAGTGGAACAAGAGTCGTAAACAGAGCATTGTATCTCGACCAAGTCACCTCAAAGTGAAAGAATAAGGGGAAAAATAGGAATTTTTCTTGCCTGATAAAGTAATTTTTCTAGAAAATCAACGAATTTACTCAGGAGCCAAAAGTATAGTTGGCACATCATGATGAGTATACTAAAAATTAATTAATAACATGCATGAGTGTGGTATTTTGCATTAGAAGTCAAAGGTATATACATTGTATATACATCGTCAAGTGCCCATTCTTTCATAATTGTTACACGGCCCAGCTTCATGAATGATTTCTCATTCTGAATTTTTTTCCTGAACTCTAGTTTTCGGATCTATCAATTTTAGAAGCTAAAAGGGTCCGTATAATTTTATCACCAACTGTTGAATAACCATTACAACGTGATTACAATCCTAGTCCTGGCCGAAAGTTCTCGGGACACGTGGTAAAGTATCACCCAATGAAACATACCGTGAACTGCCGCTTTTAAGCTCTGGGCTTATACAACTTTGTAAGGGGTTTTGAATGAGCTTATATCCGGGGGGTCTTATAAGCGGCATAAAAACAAACGTTGCGAAATGAGCTACAGCAGTGTTGATCTAAGTAATTTTTTTCATCTAATGATTTTCAATCAAGCTATAAAACATCTTATGTCGCACCTCTATTAAGCGGCCCCCTATTAAGCGAAAACTTGTCACCTATACACTGTAATAAAAACCTCTGTTCAACGGCCAGCTTTTTGCCGTCCCAAGTTTTGTTGTGTTTTATTCCTCTCTTAAACGGCCAGGAAGATTTGAAATTCGACGTTTTTAGCCAGATGAAGGTAAAAGAATGACAATGTGGAAACGTAATTGTTTCCTAGGCTTTTGCTAACTGGTTGGCTAATAGTAGGGCTTGAGTAGGGCATTGTTCCCTCCGATGCCTACGGGCCGATCACGGGCCTGCAAAACTAAAGCAAAAAGCCATAAAGTAATCATCAACTTATTAACCTCGAACGTTCGGTCTTTCTCGGCGCCTCTTCACCAGACTCCCTCCCGCCGGTTCGCTTTGCTCTTCGCAGCTCGTGCGCGTGATTCAAAGGTGAGCCTGCTCGCAGACTAATAAGCGGCAGTTTACGATAATCTTAAAATGTGGAGTCTTAATTTAATATTCCGACCTCCCCTCCCCCTACCCCAAAGCAATGTTGGAATCTTGGGTCTACGATGGATGGACCAATATCAACATTATGTTGGGGGAGGAGAAGGGAGGTGAAAAGAAAGACCTTTTGTCAGTAAAAAGATGATTAATTGTGGCTGAAGGGCCTTATAATGCAGTCAAAGATAAATAACATTCAAAAGTATTTTATTAAACATATATTACCGCCCTTTACAAGCAAAAATTACAATTTTCTTAAGACAGTTATTTTATCTACTTTGCAACGACAAAAAACTAAATCCTTAATTACAGAAGTGTCCATAGGATTTCAATTGATCTAATATTACGGTTGAATCATTAGGCTGCACTTCTATTATAAAAGTAGCAGTAAATATACATGTATCCCTTTCTGCTTCCCACTCGGGAACAGATACATCAGAATTAAACCTTGATATATTTCTAAAATACTTTTACCACTAAATTTTAAAACTCTTTTTCAACTAAGTGTATATTTGTAATGCAGTGTATTTCTACTTATTTTACCAGGAATTCTAACTTTGCTTCTTCGCATGACTCGCAGGTGGTAAACAGTAAATTGATAGGCCCATGTGTAATTGCATACAAATTATATTTATATGCAATTATACTCCGGATCGAACGATCCGGGTTCGAGCCCTGGCCAGGAACATTGCAGTTGTGTCACCCTGCGATGGGCTAGCATCCCCGATCCCGGGAGGAGTAAAGCTGAAGATAAGGGCTGACCTAATGGACCTTTAGGCTCGATCGAACCCAGAATTACACCCAACTACGAGTAGTTAAGAAAAGTAAGTAAAACGTCGAAAAAGGGGTTCTTAAGGAATGCTAAAATTAAAGAATTTAGACAAGTTTTGCCATCTAAGAAATTTACAAATTCCTCTTTTCCTTTGTTAGTTATTCCGACCGTTTCGCATAAAATCGCACCCTTGAAAGTAAGTGGACAGTTTTCTCACGTTCTTTCTGTTTGAGAACATACAACACCAACTACATACTCTAAGAATTGATTCCCGTTTTGGCATTCGTTTGGTTCTAGGGCCGGAAAATCAGACACTACTTTAAAAATTAAGAAAATCAGGTACTACTTACTGCAAAACGTCTGATCAGTTAAATACACCAAAAGGTAACCTTATCTTGCAACAACAAAAATTTTCAAAAGAAACACAAAGAAAATGATCTTCGCTGTTTTGATTCTTCTATTTTCATCATACTCTTTTTCTGAAAATCGTAGGTCAAGATCAGCATTACAACGATTTGCATAGTAGACTACGCTACATTCTAAATACTCTGAGAGACATCACCCATTTAACAAACTACCTTTAAAGAACTTGGAAGATTTCGTAATATTCTTCCTCCCGTATTTACTCTCTTAATAAATGAGCTTGTAGAGCGGTTTTCACTGAATTGAGTGTCGTAAGACCCAAACCAAATCAGTTACGTACCAATTAGACTGCTCAGCCAATCTCAAACCATAGTAAGACTAGTATAACCAAAACCATAGTAACTGCATGATTACTTTCAACACTCAATTGGCACGGCGGAAAAACCGCTGCTCATGCGC